GACCACGCCACAATCCCTTCTCCTCCATTCTCCTCTTGGGATCTTGGGCACGCACGCACACGCGCCCGGTGTGAGTTTAAGCCACCGGGCCCAGGACTCGAACTGTGGTCGACTACATGGGAGTCCAGCGACATAGCCATTATGCTAACTACTGGTCCCTGGCAGGATCATTTTTAAAAATTATTATTTATTATTATTATTATTTTAATTCACCAGAGAGGGAGAGAGAAAGAAAAAGTGAGAAAGTAAGGACTCAAACAGCCATTGGCCACACGGGAGTCCAGCCCCTAACCACCACACCGCCTGCTGGCTCCCGTCAGGATCTCGGCTGTGCACGAGCCTGGCAGGTTTCAGGTTGACTGTGGCGGAGATTCCCACCTGTGTTTGGCCCTGCGGCGTCTGGCACTGCAGTCCTCCTTTAACCAGACCCCCAGTAAGGTGACTTCAGCCTAAGATATTCCAGGAGGTTGGGTTGGATCCTAATTGATTGGCAAGGAGAAGGGTCCTCTGTGGTGAGTGAGTGAATCTTCATTGTAAATAGCTGTCTTTACTAATTACTAGCTATTTTTATTTATTTTCAAATTTTTAGATTTTTGTCATAGAGCAGGTGTGGTTGCTAGAGAGAGACAAAGTGGGAGGGAAAGTAAGAAGTCACCCCTTCCCGGTGGAGTGTGGCCATACCACAGTCCCTTCTCCTCATGTTCCATGGGATTTGGGGCACACACACACGTCTGGTGTGTTTTTCAAGCTCCCGGGTCTGGGACTTGAACGTGGTCAGCCATGTGAGATCCAGTGCCTTAGCCGACGTGCCATCTGCTGATGCATTAGTAGCTGTTTTTTCAAAAGCCAATATGTATCGGCTAGACGGCAGGATTGAACACCACTCTCCCCTATTTTAGGGTCCTGAACAGCAGATGAGAAGTAAATCTGAAATACCAGAAACAAAAAGGAAAAGCCAGCAGCCCCAGCACAGCCCAGGTGCAGCTGCGACTGCTGTTTCCGATCAGGATATCCGCCGCGGTTTGGGGCCTTGGATGAGCCTCAGTCTGATGGTGGTTGTATGTACTCTGTATTTGCACACTCACTCTTTCACACCCGAGTATGAACAGGAGCCAGCTGCACACCCATACTGGAGAGGGAGCTGCAGACGTGGACTTCGCGACGTTTTAGGAGAGTATGAGGAATACCACTCTATGTTTTCCAGTCAGATATTTAGGCACTGGGGTTAAGGATGATCAGGTATTTCAATTTGGCCATGAATGCAGTAGAGTGGGGTTAGAAGGATGTCTCTCTTGAACCTTGTCTGTCCCAATGCCCCTCAGAAGATTCTGACGTTAGCTGCTGCAGCCCCTTTCCCAGTGTGAGTGGACTCCATACGGGAGTCGGGTGTCTGGGATTCAGACATGTGACCTTGTGGGGCAATTTTCTCACCTTCTGGACCTTGTTTTCATCTCTGAGAAGGACAGAACCCACTTTACATCAGCTCTGACATCCAACCAGCCTTCCTTGGTAGAAAGTATCCCAGTGACCAGCCTCAGTGACCCTGACGGGGCTGCCCAAGGTCACACAGCTGGTGACTATGGTCAAAAGGGAAGAAGGCAGGAAGCTCAACAGAAAGCATTCACTTTTCTAAGCCAAACCGGCTCCATCATCATCTTTGCAAGATCAAAGGGATTTTTGCTCATCACAAACAACTTAGAAAATAGGGGCCAGTGCAAAGAAGAAAATGAAAGGCAACGACAATCCCAGCACACAGAAAACCCAAATGGCATTTCTGGCAGGGGCCTATGGTTTAGGAATTTTTTTCCTAGGACTACCTACAAGCACACAAGTATGCTTTATAAAATATAAGATGTGCAGACTCACATCATTACGTATTATATTATACAAAAATTTGTAGTATATGTTAGGTATAAATCACATCTGCCACATCCCATGTAATGGCCATTATGTCTGACATTTGTGCGTGCGCTCCAGCCTGTCCCCAAGTTTCTCACTTCCTCGAGAAAATTCCACGGAGTAAAACGGAACCTTGAAGCAGGACCCGCAGCAAGAGCAGATACGACTTGCTGGGAGAGCACAGGCCTCTAGTCCTCCTGACTACAGGTCCCAGCAGCCCTTGGGGCCAGGCGGCTGAAGTCCGAGTGGACTACAAGTACCAGCAAGCATGGCCCAGAAGGAGGGACTACACATCCCAGAATGCACTGTTCGTAGTTCTTGCAGGGCACTCTGGGATGTGTAGTTGTCGGAATCCGCTAATTCTCATTCATTCCGTCTCAGAGATGATGCCCATTCTTCAGACGGCACATTGAGGTGATTTCCACCTGGCCGGCGAGGAGCGCAGGAGTACGATGTGGGAGAGCCAGGGGAGTCAAAACTCCAGCGCGGGGAACGGACGCCTGCGCATGCTCCCCGGGACTCTGAGCGAGCAGCACGGTCCGCGGACGCCCCGCCCTCGCCCTCCGCGGGCCCAGTGCGCCTGCGCGTAGGGGGAGCAGAGGCCTGCGGGGAGGGTCTGGTCGCGCCTGCGCAGAGCGACAGCTTCTCTCGCGAGGACGGACGCCATTATCGCAGCTCCCCGACAAACACCACGAGAATTCCGCAGCCCACACGGTAATTGCAGCTCCGCAGCCGGTCGCGTCTCCACTCCCCC